TGGGTGGACATCCCAAATGTGTTTTAAGAAAGGGTTATGCTACATGTACATAATTTTTTACCTAATCTTTTACACCCCACTCACATTCGGGAGCGGAGACCACGAGCCGCATTTTTTAAAAAACATGGGGCCCGCCGCATTTGTGAGGGGGAGGGGGGGGACACCATTCGGTCAACCCCCTTCGGTACATCCGGATAAACCCTTAATTAAATATCCCAATTAATTTATGTTGTTTAGCCAAAGGGAGAAATTTTTTTATATAGAAAATTCTTTTTAAAATAAAAAATTATTTTTTGTAAATAAATAGTACTTTTAGCATTTAGGGGTTAAGTTTAATGTACAACCATTAATAACAAGTTGTGTTATTTTTAGTAAAGCATGAAAATTAACATAATTAATTTCTATCTCAATTTTTCGAAAAAAATGAGGTGTGACGGTCTCATATGCAATCGTGGTTGAACCACCCAATCAATTGATGATCGTTATCATGTATGTATCCTACTTCTATTTTTCTCACTTATTATTTTTTTTTTTTAGAAAAAAATTTACCCACTGAAACGACGACATTATGTTGAATTTTATTCTTTAAGAAATTACATGACTTGCGTGATCTTATACATCGAAGCGAAAATTTAGAAATCCAATTTCGTTAGATTTATTTATTATATTGTAAGACTTAATCAGCATCTCAATAGAAATCTATATCTCTACAATATTTGAAGAAGCAACACTGAACAGCAGAAAAACTAAAATATCTAAATAAACAAAAGAAATACCATGCTAAAATTCTATATTTCTAGGACTTCCTCAAAATAAAATTCAATAGAGGAAGAAATTAGATGTTAGTTGTGTAATTTGTATATTAAACAAATAATATTCATAGTTTTGTGTAATACGTAATAAATCAATTTAATAAGAGTAATATTCCTAATTTTGGTTTAACCGTGTGCGTTCATATGAGTCGATATAACTTTCTAATAAAAAATTGAAGAGCATGAGAGAAACAACATAACACGCGTTGTTATTTGATATGCGATCTAAAAAGGTGATAATTATGACACAATGACGACGTGTCGCTAAATGATTGGATGTTCCTACGTGTCTGTATATCCTACCAAAATAGCTCTCATATATCTTTTGCGCTCGTGAATTCATAAATCAAACGCAAACTTAGCTCACTCAAATTCAATTACCTTGTTTTTCTGTAAAAGAAGATTCGATTTGAGAAGTAATTTCAATTTACATGCAAGAAGCAATGGATGCAAATTCTTGGGCTGCTCGTCTTTCTCATGCTTCAAAGCGCTGTCAATATGTTCTTCTACCCATTCTTCAATCTCGATCTGGTAAACTCGATGCTCGATTTTCCTTTTTCTAATGTGTGGAGCAAATTTTGTTAAAATAGACCCATAAAGAAACACAAGTTACATGCATAACCCAAGCATTTTAGCCCGCTCATTGAAAAATTTATTTTGGTCATATTCTTTTTGTGCTATCACTTGTATATTAATGATTATAGTTGGAGTTGGTAGTTTTGGAAAAACAAAATGATTTTTTTTTTAAATCTTTGTTGCACAATTAGTTTTATATTTTAAAATTTCTTCTTTTACTTTTACTTTATAGTACTAAGTGCAAGCAACGTGCAATGCACGTTTGCCTAGTTTATATTTAATAGTTTTGTTTCCAAGTTAGTCACTCAACTTTCATATTTTGCGCTTTGGTCTGTATAAAAACATTTTCTTCTGGTTTTGGTCCTTTTTGCTCCAATTCTTCAATATCTGATCTCACAACTTTAAAAGCTTCCATGTTAGTCCTCAAACCTCAACAATCTTTTGAAGTAGTCTTTCTCAAGTTTCGAAAGTGTGAAAATTAGTCTCCAAACTTTCTTTAAGTTGAATTCAATTCTAAAGCTTGCGACTTTCCTTCGATTGCTCTCTTAGTGCTCATTAACAATCCAATGCAATCTTGTTGGCTTTCAATTGCTTCAAATCAACTCTATATTAGCTTAGACCTTCATTTTTCTCCAAATACTTCTTAATCCAGTTTTTATGGCCAACACTGAGAAATTGTGTCTTTAAACTAGTGTCAAAAATGACATTGTTCCATGGTTGCTTTTACGTTTTCTTCAGTTGAGTAGAGGCAACACCTTTTAATAGTAAATTACATAATAGTGTCGGGCTCCCTATGTTAGGGTGTTAAGAGAAATATATCCCACATCGATAAATG